CTCTCTTTCCTCTCCCCCTCTCTCTTTCCTCTCTCTCTTTCTCTCTCTCTTTCCTCTCCCTCTCTCTCTCCTCTCTCTCTTTCCTCTCCCTCTCTCTCTTTCCTCTCTCTCTCTCTTTCTCTTTCCTCTCCCTCTCTCTCTTTCCTCTCCTCTCTCTCTCTCTTTCCTCTCCCTTCCTCTTTCTCTCTCTTTCTCTTTCTTCTCCCTCTCTCTTTCTCTTTCTCTTTCTCTTTCTTTCCTCTCTCTCTCTTTCTCTTTCCTCTCTCTCTCTCCCTCTCTCTCCTCTCCCCCTCTCTCTTTCCTCTTTCTCTTTCTCTTCCTCTCTCTCTCTCTTTCTCTCTCCCCCCCCTCTCCCTCTCTTCGATCTTCTGCTCACCTGGCAAGCTGGCTTCAAGCTGTTCTCCAACAGGCTGGCTCTCTCCTGCCCTTCCTGCTTCCTGCTTCCTGCAGAGAGCAGCCAAGGAGCCCCACCCAATAAGCTTGTCAGCTCGTCGAACAGGGTGAGGCCACTCTCTTTTCCACACACACACACAGACACACACACAGACACACACACACACACACTCGGAGAGAGAGAGAGAGAGAGAGAGAGAGAGAAGCGCAAGTGCCTCTCTCTGTCTCTGTCTGCAAATGGCAGAGGAGACTGGGAGCCGCAGGTTGCTGACCTGTGGTATAGGGTCTCCTGCTCAAGCAGAGGGCTGGACTAGAAGACCACCAAGGTCCCTTCCAATTCTATTATTCTATGTTCTAAATCTACAAGGGCTGCTTTGCTTCAATGAAGGTTTGAGCAATGCACTCCCTCAGAGCTGCCTTGTGAAGCTAGATAGACGTCTTGAATCTAAGAGCAAAGATTGCTTTGTTCTGCTCGGAGGAACACAAATGATTGCTTTGCTGTGCTTCATAAAGATTTTGGAGAAAGCTCAGGGGATGGGCTTGTTCCCTGGACCACTTGCCAAAACCTGATTGTTTTTTTTTAGTTTTATAATTGTTCTATGGAACTGCCACATCCTCTCATCAGCGGCAACTTTGCATAAATAATTGCTTTATTTCATTATCTTATTGGTAATGAAATAAATTAGAATTAGAATAAATTCAGGGTTAGAAATCTGAAAGAAAAAATGATATAAACCAACTGAACTTTGGCTAGACATGAGTTAGTGTCTCTATTCTGACACTAGAGAAGTGACAGAGCAAACATCTGACACCACAGAGAAATATCCAGGACGAATGAGGGACCCATGAATAGAAGTGGTTTTTCACATCTGCTGCGTATGCAGCGAGCCATGCATAAAAATACACAGCCAAGCATATACAGTGGAACTGAGTAAAGTTGCCAACAATTGTCTGGATCATATTTGACATTTGGATGTATCTCAAGATTTTTTTGAATTAGATGTCAAGGTGTGTGATCAGAATAATAAAAAGGGGGGGGGGTCTGTTTACCACCACCTGTTAGCAGTTTCCTCCCACCCTCTCAATATTAATCTAACACAGACATGTCAAACACAAGGCCCGGTGGCCGGATGCGGCCCGCGAAGTGGTTTCATGTGGCCCGCAAAGCCATCCTGGAAACGGTGAGGGAACGGCCCCCACTGCTTTGGCCCTGGCCCAGGCCGGCTGGGAGCCAATGTACAATTTTGTGGTGGCCATCTATGCTGAAATGCATTCAGTCTTAGCTCCACAAGGCCGTCTAGAAACAGCGAGGAACCAGCCCCTACCGTGCCAGCCCTGCCCCCTGGGTGCATGCTGGGGAGGTGTCACCCAGTCCCACCCCCTTCTGCCAAAGACCCTCAGATCTGTCCCACTCCTGCCTAGGCTCCCACAGGCACCCTTGACACGAACGATGTAGAGCTGGCCATGCCCACCCAGTAGGCCACACCTACTCCATCCACACCCACCCAGTATGCTGCACCCACCCTGGCCACACCCACCCGGCCCCCTGAGGGCAACCGCAATGCTGATGCGGCCCTCAATGAAATTGAGTTTGACATCCCTGATCTAACATAAAGGAAGGCAGAGCCTACTATAAAAAATTCCCTACCAATCTAAGGCAGAGCTGTGAGACTCAATTAAGGAAGGTGATGAGTGTCCTTCGATGAATATGTTCAAACAGAGGTTTGGGAGCTCTTCTGATGAATTCTTTCAGTTGGCTCCATGCAGTAAGCAGGGGATTGGCTCTGAGGGCTTAAATGGCTGCTTTCAAGTGTTTGTTATATGATTTGATCAATTGTCTAGGTTTGTCCGGTGATTTGTAAAAAAGCCCAGACCAAACAAAATAAGACAAAAAAATTCTCCAGAGAAGCTGCCATATGAGGGGTGTTGACAAGGGAAGAAGAATGGAAAAAGTGCAGGTAACCTCCATTTAGCAACTGACTCATATAGTGGCCAATCACAGTTATGAAGGTGATGGAAAAGTAACTTTGCAACCAATCCTTGCATTGATGACCTTTACAGGCTTTTAAAGCAAAAGGAAAAACAGACGTACGATGATAAAACACTGTCGCCGCTGTAACTATGAATGGTCACTGTATGAGGCAGTCACTGAACAAGGACTACCTGTAATACAAAGCACTTATTTTGCATAAAAAAATAATAATAATTCTATAAAAAAAGTAAAGTTATTTACTTGTTATGTTCCATATCTTGATAATATTCTTACTTTTGTTTAATATATGACATACACATAAAATTTTAAGATACCTACAAAAGAATCCTTATTCGAGTTGGCTTACGTAAGTCGAAACCAAGACAGTCCGTACTTTACACTTCCAGGTCTACACTTGGTTCTGTAGGAGGACAGCACCCCCCTCCCCGAGAAAGAAATATTTTGGGGAATACTAAAAAGCAGAATATTATATTTCCCCAAAGGAATAATGGGAG